CAGCTCACTCCTTTGAGTCCTCTAGTCCCACAGATCTCAGCTGGAATGATGTTCAAAGCAGCTGCAGAACCATCAGGTCTAATGAACCAATGCAGACAAGGCTGCCAGCAGGGTCACAGTACCCCAAGAAACCTCCCAGGACACCAGCTGTCCTGGCATCCTCACTTGCACTGCTCCTGGTACCGCCTGTGCTGCTTGGCAGGCAGAACGGCCTGGGAGCCTTGGAAGCAGAGCCCAGAGCTTTGCATGACTGAGGCTGTTTATAAGATAGTGCACACAGAGCCCTTGGCGGCTTTTGGGAGAGTTCAGTACAAAAGCAAGCAAGGAATGCAAGCCTTGTATACTCCAATAATCTCAATACGTCACAGAGTTTCTCTGATCTGCTGCGTTCAAGTTCAGATTTGGAGATATGATGTGCTAATTTCCTCCCTTAATATTTCAGCACAAGGCCCCTTCCTCCAGATAGCTGACACTCTTCTCATTTTAATACCTTATCACCACCCTCTAACTTTATGTGTAATCTTCAGTGCATGATGAGGAGCAGTATGTCTTGCATCTCACAGGTTAAGCAACAAGAGATATTGCAAAACAGCACAGCAAACACCAGGGGCAGAATGCACACTGGGAGGTGGAAGCATTTGAAGTTGGACCCCAAGAGGGCCATAAGCTCATCCTTCCACTTTTCTGGTGTATACACAGGCTGTGGTATTACACATACTCTTCCACTCACAGGAGAATTTGGCTCTGTGATGTTTCATACCTCCTGTTACCACACACTTTCATGCTATTTTCATGTCTGGAAAACCTCTACTTAAATGTGAGGCATCCTTCTGCTCTACTGCTTTGTCACTTCACCTCAACCCTTTGGATTATTTCTTGCAAGGAGCTAATTCTGACTGTACAACTATAGCATCTAATATTAACTGTAACAACTAGTTCTAAAATGATAAGTTTCCTTGGCCATTGATGGAAACAATGACAGATCAAAACTGCTTTACACTTTACTCTGGTACTGCTTGCTTTCTCTAAGACAATTCCTAAAACTGTCTCACAACCAGCAGTATCTCATGCTATGGAATAATTGGATAAGGAGAAAAGCCACCCAAGTAACAGCGTTCTGTTGCCTCACTGGGTATTCATTCATGGGATAACACCTACACAGAAATGCCCAGCTTGGCTCTAGTCAGGAGCAGAATTTTCCCCCACCTTCTCACATCATCAGCAGGTATTTCTTTCTGAAATGCTACTCCTTACTTCACTGAATTTCACTGATCTTTGCAGAGGAAATTATATTACCAGATGCATAAAAGAATAACAAGTCTGCTGAGACAAACCATAACAACGAGCCTTACTAGTAGCGTACTGTGACTATTAGGACTTCACTGGATGCCTTTATCCCTATTCCCAGGCTGAAAAGGAAATCTTACTTGTACTGCTACACCTGAGAACAGAAAGGCAGCATGTAAAGGCTGCAGGAGATAGTACTGATTAAAAACTGTCCAGTCAGGGAATCTTCATTTTGACAAAATAAAAAAAAGGACATCAATTTATACAAAGGATTTCACTTCCTGTATCAATCTGAGTCTGTGGTGACTAGGAAGAAGTGAGGGCAGCTTTATTATGCTACTGCCTTCTCAGGTGTCCATGGCAGGCCCATGGGACAGGTAGAAAAGTCAGAGAGATGGTTTTTGGTTGTAATTTAACACCAGTAGGCACCAAATCCCCACATAGCCCCTACTCTGTCAGATGGAGGAGATAATCTGAAGGGTGAAAGTGTAAAAAATTGTGGGTTGAGATAAAGTCAGTTTAATAACTAAAAAAGAGGACAAAAGTAACAGAGAGAAAGCAAGTGATGCAAAAGAAAACAATTGCTTACCACCAACTGACTGATGTCTGGCCAGTCCCTGAGCTACGAGTGCCCCAGCCAACATCCACCCTTCCAGTTTAACTGCTGATTTTGATGTTGTATGGTGTGGAATATCCCTCTGCACAGTTGAGTTGTCTCCCCTCAAGTTCTTGTGCACCCCCAGCTTACTTGCAGGCAGGGCAGTGTAGGAAACAGAAAAGCCCTTGACACTGCACAAGCACTGTTCAGCAGTGACCAAAGCATCCCTCTGGTATTGATGCTGTTTTCATCTGAAATCCAAAGCACAGACTATACAAGCTGCTATGCAGAAAACTAACTCTATCCCAGCCAAAACCAGCACATTTTTAGAGAACAAGAGGGAAAGAAAGAATAAGGTCTGCTCCTTGCTTTCTAGCAAACTTCTTGACACAAAACTCCTAACATTGACATTGCTTTAAGGGAGAGAGCTCATAGGCTCCAGCACAGCATTTTTCACTGCTGTGGGTTGGTTTCTTGTTTTCAAGGACTTGGACAATCCCGGTTCTGTTTTGACTTCCACCTTCCTGCCAAAGCCCACAGCAGCACAGGTATGAGCAGCACTAGGGGCTCTCATCAGATACCTGGTATAGCAAAGGTGCTTCACTACATAAGCATGACTTGAGTGTCTTTCTCGGCCTAAAGCATTTAAATTCAAAGAAGAGAGACACACACTTCTCTCCTCTGACATCTGTCCCTCCTATATAGAGAGGAGCAGACTATAAATCCTTTCTGGAAACTCCAGTTCCAGATTTCTATAGAGCTCTGACTAAAGATCCAAGTCCTTTCCCCACCCTCTCACACCTTCAATAGAGGAAGCACTTCTAGCTCCTAAACTGGATGTAGAAGGTGCTGTCTTTGCCTGAGTACCTAATGAGAAGTGAGGGCTGAGATATGCAAGCAAAATGACAGGCAGAATAACTTCAATAACCATAACTAAAAGTATACTGGTTGGGGTCTATTGGCTCTTTCTAAGAGAAGGAGGAAAACTGTGTGAGAGAGGAGGAAACAAGGGTGTGGAGGCAAGTCATGGCAAGTGCAGCAAAGCTCACAGTAGCTGGAAGGATTAGTGTATCATTTCCTGCCATGTGCTGCACAAAGCAAGACAAACACAACAATACAAGATGAAAAAAAAAGATTATTATGTGGTTTTCCACATCTGAGGCAACTGGAGAGACATCAGGGAGATATTGTGGACTTAGGATAAGCCACTGCTGGATGTGTTAATCAGCTGGGCTGTGGACTGCAGCAGCAGCGTGGGGAGGTGCCCTTCAGTGGGACACCAGGGTACCTTGTTATGAGGGTGGCAACAGTTTCCACTGCCCAGACTGAGCCTGACTCACACCCCTGTGATGGGACTTGGCCAGCAAACCAAACTCCTCCACATCACTGGGCAGCTCCTGGGGTCTGGCAGACAGGAAAAATGTCCTGACCCAACAGCCTTGTGAGGGACCACCAGCAGTCCACGAATTTTAAGGGATCCATTACAGGAGGGAATAAAACAACTCATGCTTGTTTGTATGAGATGGGTACAAATCTTGCCTGGCCATGTCAGTGAGACAGGGGTGCTGCTCAGCCACTCTGCACACGAGTCTCAGCATCCAGCAGCTCCTCCAGCTTGCTCAAATTCTCTGCTGCTTAGAGGGTCCTAGAAAGAAATGAGATTTCCTGTTCTGTCATGTAAAGAAGACACTGGCTCCAAATCAGGAAACGTGTTAAAGAAATTCAGCATCGGAAGAACTGTCACTGTGCAGCTGCTATAACAAGGCTCCAATATTGCCTTAAAAGGTAAATAAACTAAATCCTCTCTAAGAACTGCTGGTCTCAGGACCGGAGGTGAAGTTCTCAGATGAAGCCTGGAATCTGAGTTTGGATTAAATCCAGATGTCAGGATCACACCCACTCCCTCAGAAAATTCACATCTCAATATAGACAGGGGTTTCTGCATGGGGAGGGGGAATTGTTTTTCTGCCTTGCCCTCTCTGACACTGACTGGATGGGAAAAAATTAGGAATATGCACAGCCCTGACTTCAGAAGTGGACAAAAGGGATTAGATGTTACTAATTATGGTGCAGCTATAGCCTTTCACTTGAACAGGCTGAATGCAGAGGGGCTCTGTTCTTTTCTGCTAAGTATCTAAATGCTCTCTTCAAAGCATAAATTTCATGAAAATTCTGTGAAAGGAGCTACCTGCAGACAAATGCAAGGGCAGATGAATGTTACAAGCCTGTGAACCAAGTTCTGTTTCCAGGAATATTTGGGCAATCATGCTTGAGAGAAGAGGGGTGGGAGGGAAGTATTCAAGGTAACTTACACCGGACCCTACATGGTAACCAGCAGCACGGAAAGAGACCATCTTCACCAGCAACTCTATCCATAGACATCTGCACACATCAACTTGATCTTGTGGCAGGGGATTTTTCCCTGTTTCAGTTTCTCTGTGGGAAGCACTTTCTGTGACTTCTCACCCACCACCCAAGCTTCTGGAATTTAACCTTGTTTTCCCTTAACATTTATTTAGCTGAGAAATTGACAAATCATCAGAACAGAATGGGCTTCAGAAAACTAAAATCAGCAGAGGCTCTCAGGATAGCTCAGAGTCTTCCCTTCTCTTCCTCTTGCACTGCAACACACAGGCCTTTCAGGCAGATTGAGCTTTCTCTGCACAATCCGTCTGGTCTCAGGGACCAGCACTAAAGGCTGCTCCAAAACACAGCCACAGCAAGAACTACTTACCTTCTGGCCTAAATTTTATCAGGGCCAGCTGAAAAAATTTGTCCTCACACCAGTGCTATCCCCTCTGCTTAAACCCTTTTCCTCCTTTATCACGTTACTCTGTCCTTTCCATACTGCCAAGCAACACTTCCTTCCTTCTCCCCTGCCTGCTGTACCTGCTGCCTCTCCCCAGTCTAAGCCTGCTTTTTCTCTCAGCAGGAGCTCCCTGTTCCCTCCTGGGCTGCCACTGGCCCTGCTGCACTGTCCTCCTCCTGCAGTGTGGCAAACAGCCTTCATGTGGCATCTCATGCCAGTTTCTCCCGAGCCCTGTAGGATGGCGGTAATACACTGCCACAATTAACATCCTTAACCACCGTTTAATTAATCCACTGAAGCCCTAAGAAATTTTAATTAACGGCAGCTTTATTAGTATTTACTTCACCTTCAACACGTAAGCTCTGGCAGTATTTCCAAAGAGAGGGCACTGGAGAGCAGTTGACAAGGCACCCTTTTCCTGACTTTTCCCTGCTCTGTTGCTCCCAGAGCTCCCAGCCAGCTCTGTGTACTGACAAGAACAGTTCCTTCAGCAGCCCGCCAAGATCAGGGTCAAGTTAACGTTGTTACGTTGCCCTGCGCAATTCCTGTCGTGTACAAGGTTAAATAAATTCACCAAAATCATGCTTCAGAAGAAGTGTTACTGTAGGGTTTGATTAACAGCACAGATTGGAGGGGAGTCTGACAGAAAAGCCGAGAGTTCTGCTCCATTTGGAGATCTCCATATCGTAGCCAAGGTCGCCGTCTCAGCTGCCAGCCTTGAATGATGTTTGTGTAAAAAGCAGATGCTCTTCAGGCTTCACATGCACTTCTGAATACAAACCCACAAGTCTCTGAATTCCAGCAACCAAGCAGACTAATGTACTTCATCCCTCAGCCCTACAACATGGCAAGATGCTGCTGTTCAGATTACCAGGATGAAGAAAGATTATCAGATTTCTGAGGGATCTAACCTGCTGTGGCAGGTGTCCAGGCAGACAAGCTCTGCAGCCTCTTGCAGCAGATTTGTGTTCATTTGCACAACACCTTTCTCTGGTGCCGCTTACAACAAAACACATGCTCCCTCTGAGCTAAGTACCATGGACAAGTGTTAAGGGAAAAATAGGAGAAAGAAAAATACTCTCAACATACTATAAATCAAGCTTATGGGACTTGATTTCTGTTGCTAAATCTGCAATTAACCCCAGGAGCACAGGAGTGATCCCTTAGGCCCAGACACATTAACTGTGCTCTAAGGACACTTGTTATCCACAAGTTAGAATGCCATGATGTTCCGTCAATTTTTGGAGTAACTGATGTGATAAAAAGCTTTAGGGTAGAGAGTCAAATGATGTTCCAGGGAACAGGGACAGCAGTAATCTGAAATACAGAACAGATGTCTTTAAACTTGAAGTACTAATTAACTATTATTTTGCTAAATATTTGAGGTGTGTAACACTAACCAAAACCCAGTTGTGGGGGAAAAAACCCAAAAATAAATTCTTCACGAGCAACTGGACTAATAATTCAAAACACTATCCTGGTACTACCAAATGACCAGAACTCCTGCTTTCATAACTGCTACAGAGGCTGAGGTCAAATACCACTGCCCTACTTTAATCATTTATCTACAGAACAAATTAAAACTAGCACATATCTGGTTTAACAAGGCATTACAATGCATTACATTAATGATGCATTACATTAACAAATACTGAGTTAAGATCTGAACATTGATACTTCTTAAATAATATTGTCTTAAATTTTTAATAAGGAAGAAGTGAACTGTGCTTAAAACACACCTATACAAAATCCCTACTAAAACCCAAACCCATACCCCACCTTGTAAAGCCCCAGCTAACTTTTTCAGGACTTTGTAAGTAGTACATGAGGGCAGAACTCTGTCCCATTTCCTGTCTCAGAGCTTTGTAGCACACTGGGGCTGACATGAAATCTGACATTTGACTATGAGGTTCTCATCCTGACTAACTTACTCAGATCCCAAAGTTTACAAACTGCAGCATCCTCAAAGTGAGTCAGTAATGAATAAGAGGGTCAGGCAAATACCCTGCTGGCTGTCCCCCAGACAACTCTCTCTGACAGAGGAGTCGTCTCAGATTAATATACAATATCTAAATGCTAACCAACACTTTTAGAAGTGTTTTTAATAGCCAAACTTGGGTTCAGCAGCCACAGTCCTACAAAGGCTCTGTATTTCTCTAGTCATGCTACATGAGCACCTTCTAGTAACTACACAATGTGACTTCATGCAAGGCAAGAGCCAAGAGAAACCTTGGCCTTTAAGAAAGCTCTTCTCCAAACTCCACGCCTCTTACTAAATCCACTCCTGCCTCAAAGTGCCCAAGACAGCTCTTGGCTTTCTACCCAAATCCTGTCTTCTGTGAAATTGTTTCACAAGATGAGGGAACAAAACGCGTTGTCATTTTTCCTTCTCCGTTCTTTCCACACTTGAGCAGTCAGTGTTTACAGGAAGTAGCATTACTGTGGTTTGAATGGCCACACGAGTAAGGAGAACTCCTTTTACCACTACGCCCCACACACACACACCCCAAATACTCTTGTAAGCAAACAAGTTCTAACGTCCATTGAGAACCAGAAAAGGAAGGGTTTAATTTAACTTCTTGCTGTTGTTCTTTCCATCAAAACCCGGCAAAAATGCAGTGGTGAAAGTCTGAGCATCACCTGCAGAGGAGCTGTTAGATTCATTCCAGCTGTAGAAGAAGTGCTACGGGTCCAGGATAATCACCACCACCACCTGAGCCCCCGGGCATGGGCTCTGCAAGGAGTCAGAGGTGCATTTAGGAAAACAACCGAGAGGGGTCCGAGCAGCGCTGGATTTCCCCCAGCACAGCTGACTCAGAGCTCGCCTTTTCCCACGAACGGGCGCGCTGAGGTGACCCCCAATCTCCCGTCCTGGGATCAAGGGACCCCGAACCTGGGAAACAAGCACTGCACAGCCTGGAGCTCTGGGGAAACCCAGAGCAGCGCTTCCCATACGGACCATGCCCACACGGCCCCCGCTCAGAGCCGGCTGCCCCCTCCCCTCACAGACCCCCGGCAGTACCCAAGGCCCC